AAGTTGGTTAGTTCCTATCCTCCTTGAGTTTGAGGGGGCTGTTAATGTACACGCTAAAACGCTACTCCACTAACCTAACCCACTACACCACTCCACCATCCACTTCACCTACTCCACTACACACTCCACTTCACCCTACTCCCCACTCCACCTCCACTTCGCATCTCCATCTCTACAATAATTACATACAATACATCAATAAAAACATCAATCAATAATACTCAATTTTTTACATCTTTCCTTCTTTGATCTTGCTATTTTTGCAACTATCTGCAACCAGTATAAATCTCATCTCAGTTCTTAAAAAAACTTAGGCAGTTTAAAATATGAAATTACAGAAGAATCTGCAAAACAAAATAGAAAGAATAGTTTTGCTCAATGATTTAACTTTTTTACAAAGTACCTATGAGGCCTTGAGGAAGGGCACACCTTTGAGACTGTTCTGTTTTGCTTCTGTTTGATTAATAAAACGGCATTCTGAGGGAGCAAAAGCCACCGAATTATGAATGCCTTTTCTGGCAATGCCTTTCACTGTAATGAATTTTCCTTTGATCTTGTAAACCCATAGCTGATGCAACTGCATTTGGCTGTGTTGTTTGATGACACTTTGCTTGTGGTGCAGCAACTCAGGTTGTTGAAGACGTTCAATGCATGCTGATGTGGCTGCCTCTTCAACATGTCTGATCGTGTTCAATGAATTGCTTCTGGCTGGCTGCAATCCAGAAACATTAACTTTTGTAGCCCAATGAACCTGATTGAATGGGGTTGACATGTTTCTCCCTGATTATGATGGCAGTTTGCTGCTTCTTCTCTAGCAGTCCAACATGATGATTCTGTTGTAATATTGTTTGCATTTGGCGCTGCCCAGTTTGCTGTTGGTCTGAACCGTTGTAAACAATCGCTGCTTGAGAATTTGGAAGCTCCGATTGGCGCAATGATATAATTTTGCCTGGTCTTGTTGTTCATGATGACATATATTGGTGTTTGGTTGCATTAGCGAGGGCTGAATATGTGGTTGCTTGGATCCTCTTTTAAAGAGCTGCTGCCGCAACTGCTGTGTTGGAGCTGGGGAACAAACCTGTTGTAAATGGCTGACGTCCTGGGTGACTCCCTATGTAATTGGCGAAACTTGACTGTGTACTTGTCCAACTAGAATTGCCACAGGCTCATGAGAATTATGCAGACATATTTTGCAAG